AGAACGTTCATACAAATAGAAGGACGTTTTGTAGTAAGGCAGCCTTTTCTGGAAAACACATTGACGTTAGGGGAATCTCAAGAAATAGCTTGGAGAAGGTTCGTCAGTCTTGAACGACGACTAGCAAAAAATAATGTATTGCGGAAACAGTATGTGTAGTTTATGGAAGAGTATGAGCGATTGGGTCACATGACTGAGGTAAATCTGAATTCCATGTTGATTCCAAGATGTTTCATTCCTCATCATTATATACTGAAACCAGATAGTACCACTACTAAACTTCGAGTGGTGTTTGATGCATCAGCTAAAACCACATCTGAACACTCGTTGAATGATTTAATGTATAACGGACCGACAGTTCAGAGCGAACTCTTTTCAATTTTGCTCCGTTTTAGGCGACCACGATTTGTTTTCACCACAGATATCGAAAAAATGTATCGTCAAGTTTTGATAAATCTTGAAGATCGGCGCTATCAATTTATCATTTGGAGAAGCAGTCCAATTTCAACAATTCGTTATTATCAGCACGACACAATTACATATGGGACTCAAGCAGCTCCTTATCTGGCAACAAGATGTCTGCAAAAGATAGCATTAGAAAACAAGGTGAACTATGAGCTCAAATCTTGTGTGACAATTTCTACGTTGACGATGGACTTGGTGGATCAGATAGTTTAATTACGGCTATTGAACCTCAAAGGCAACTAATCCATATTTTGAAGAAGCATCATTTTTATCTACGGAAATGGAGCGCAAACCATCCTCAACTTTTGAAAAACATTTCTCAAGATGATCAAGAGGTAAATCTAGATTTTACTAATGATAATAACCAAAACGCTGGGATTATTTTGGTTGCCCAAAGCGGATTTATTTGGAATTAAGGTCAAAATGGTTACTGAAGGGATCATCACAAACAGAGTCGTTAGTTCTGATTTAGCTAGACTGTTCGAACCACTTGGTTTATTAGCTCCAGTAATAGCGAAGGCGAAGATTTTCATACAACATTTATGGCAGTTGAAATTATCTTGGGATGAACCACTTCCTACAGATACTCATACAACATGGTCAACATTTAGAGAAAATTTAAGTACTCTTGAAAACCTTCAAGTGGCAAGACATATCTTCAAAGGCAGACGCAGATTTCATATACAGGATTCAGCACAAGAATTCATTCAACACGTTGCAAAGGATAGCAGCATATGTTTTTAGATTTATTAACAACACAAGAATATCAAAGGAGTCACGTGCATTACATATAGCACCTAGTGCTAACGAATTGGAAGCAGCATTAATCACTATAATATATCACATTCAGGGTAGTGATTTTAATCAAGAAATCAAACAACTAAAGAAACAAGGCAATGTTGATAAATCTAGTTCAATCAGCAGTTTATCTCCATTCATTGATAATTCAAATGTCCTCAGAGTAGGAGGACGCTTAGAAGCCTCATCATTACCATACGATTTTAAACACCCAATGCTGATTCCATACTACGATCCATTGGCAAAATTACTGTTCGTGGTGCCTCATGAAGAAAACACTGTGGCCCTTTCATCATTTTTGCCGCACTTGTGGTGAGAATGATGAAAGTGCCTCCCACCTGCTTTGTTTCTGTCCGGCACATGCACGACGCCGCCTTAACATTTTAGGGGTCTTATTTTTTGAGGATCTTGGCGAACTTCGAGACCTTCCTTTAAATAGCAACCTAAGCTTTGTCAAAGGTATAGCTCTTGGGTTTTTAATAATACAGTAGCAGAATGGGCGGTTTATTTCAATACTAACGACTTCTTTGCGGTATTACAAGCGCGCCCGTTATCTTTCAAAGATATATTGAACAAATTTTAACTGATATTGAAGGATGCGGTAACTACTTAGACGACATCATACCGACAGCTCCTACTACTGACATCCACATTCAGCGGTTGAACTAAGATCTTAACATTTTACAACAAAATGATATTCGTTACAAAGAAAAGTATATGTTTCTACAAAAGAAAATTCAATATTTGGAACGAATTATAAGTGCACATGGAGTCCAAACTGATGAAGCTGGAATAAGAGCGGTTAAGCAATTACCGCAACCAATAAATATTACACAAGATGAATCTTTCATGGGAAAGATAAATTATTATCATAAATATATATCTAATTATTCTACAATTGTAGCACCTATTATCATTTAAATCATTTAATCATTTAAAACATTCTATTGCTAATGTAACATTATCATGATTCATCCTTCGATTCTGGCTAACGATGCATCATCATATAGTCTAGGCGCAGTGTAATCCCACATTTACAAAGATGATTCTGAGAGATTAATTGCATTTGCTTTCAGAAAGTTAAACGATGCGCAGCACAAATACAGCCAAATTGAAAAATAAGCAATAGTTTGTGTAGTGTAAGATTTTCATCAGTATCTATGTGGACGTAAGTTTAGACTTTTCACTGATCTTAAGTTAACTATAACAAATTAACTATAAATGATTTTTATATGAAGACTTGTTTCGACGGAAAAATGAGATTATCATATAAAAATTAGGCATATAAAATTAAAAATTCGTAAAGAATTGTCATGTTCGCCAAAAAGTAGGTGTTGATCCTGTTCCCATGTAATCTCCCCCCGCAATAAAGCTATTACCTAGAGTTCTAAAGAATTTTATATATGTTGCCGTCTTAGTTTCGTGTTTTGGTGGACAATATACTGATGTTATTGTGATTGAGATACACTAATCTTTTGTTGAAATGCTGGGTGCTTGAATTTCTTCAGTCCGGTATTGTTGCAATTCAAAGTGTAATATGCTCGTTTTAACTAAAATGTCACTTCCACCAATAGCAGTTCCATTATGATGCAAAGTGTGGTAAAAGTCATAGCCTGGTACTTTGAAATAATGTTTTGAAGTGAACCGTGTTTCAGATATAATGATGATGTCTAGTTTTTGATTTTTTAAGAATTCTTGTAGCTCTAAACAGTGTTTTGACAGCCCATTCCAGAGGACTATATTTAATTCACTGTCGGACATAATTTAGTTGTCAGCGTGACAAGAACATTCGTCAACGTACTGATTTGTTCTAACATTTGCTTTACTACTATTAGAACTTCGCTCATTGTATCCGAAGATTTTTAAATAGAAATAGATTCAGATGATTGTTCCACTAGCACGCTAGCATAACTTCTTTTGGGAGCCGTTTGTCTTTTCATTCTTCAGTTTCTTTGTTTGTATTTGATGTTGGTTTGGGTCTTAGTGTTGAAAATTTCGCGGTTTGTAGCTGCTTATAGATCGAACAACCTTTATAATTTGCAGGATGGTTTCCTTCGCATAAGACGCATTTGACTTCAGTACTTCTTCCTTGGATTGGACATTAAGACGAAGAATGATTTTTAGCACATTTGATGTACTTTGGATGTCTTTGACAATAACTTTTCGTGTAACCATAGTCTTGGCAGTTACTACACTGTGGAATGTCCTGTTTAGGACGAGGAGCCTCAAACGTGACACGACTATGCATTTATGAGAGGATTTATGTTGTTCACCCTATCTACGAATATTGGTGGAGGTTTGGGCTTCTTTTTGACATCTTCGGCTTCTTCTATTTCTAGTACTGAAAATCTATTTACAGAGCGGCTTGGATTGTCTAGCCAGTAACTATTTAATTTAGCTTGTTTTTTAGTTTGTTCAGCATTTTTTGAACGGCGAATTTCTTTTTGAACTTTGATTTTTGTACTGAAGAGTTTTCAAGAGAATTCTTAATGGGTTTTCTTTTAAGTGAGTATTTCCCTTCGATTGAGTATGTTTTTGGAGAGTTTTTTGACTGTTCTGCACTCATTTCGTTCGCATTTCGTTCAGTATAATGTTTGATATATTAGCGATCGAACTTACCGAGGTTATTGGATGTAAAGGTAAGGCATGAGTAGAAGAAACGGATGTCTGAGTTGATGTGGAACTTAAGGTGTTAGTTATCGAGTTTGCAGTGCTTACTGTTACGCTACTTGTAGTACATGTTGAAGTTGAGCAGGAATGCGCTGTTAGATTTGTTAAGGAGAATCCCAGCATGAGTATATGAGGTGAGCTGATCAGTGGGGTACTCCATTGTTCACTTTAAGAGTGATACACTATATAGTTTTTGGTGTAAACAAGGTTCGTAATTTTTTACTGAAAGTGAAATAATTAGATTATTAGCGGTTTATAAAATATGATGAGTTGCTTACTGCCTGTCATACGCTGGACCTCATGCCGGAATTTAAACCGATATTTTGTTTTTCTCTCAATCTAAAGTCTATAATTTGCATTGAAAATAATTTCACTCTTTCCGATTTTTACACTTTCCGATCTAAGGAAAGTCGTATAATTTTGTAAGTATTGTAAAGAATTATCATACACTGGCATAATAAATAAACATTTTTACCGCTCCCACGAGTAATTGTTTTTGGGTAGTGGTTTCCCGAAACAATAAAAATAATTCAGTTACAATATCGCATACAACTGTTAACGTAAAACAAACGCAGGGTAAAAATATCCAAATAGGCTTAGTAGTGCAATCTATTGGTTTTGAATTAACAATCAACAGAAACTATGTTAACTAATACCAGAATGATTACAAATTAATCACTCCATATGTACATAAGTACAAGCAATTTCTCGAATTTATACAGTGGCTCACAGCTTATTTGATGCAAGCAAAAATTTTTTGAAAAATGTTGTTTATTTCAAAATATTTTGCAAAATTAAAAAAACAATGTATGCAGAGTTATTGTTTATAGTGTGTTTATTCATTTAAAAAAAAAACCCCAAAAATCTTCTTCCATTCCTTAGTAATGCATCAAAAACCAAAACCAAATGAAAAATTCATGTCACAGCTTAAATGATGCAGTTAAGAATACCGTTATTTTTGTCGCCAGATTACACAGAAATTAAAATATTTTTATTCTGCGATCATTTGTAATCTAGTTTTTAAGCGAAAATATTATAAAAATTAAAGTGAGTGTATTTTGTTAACCATGGGACGGCGCACATCAATTGAAAAGCGTGAGTTAGTGTTGGAGTACTTTAAAAAGGGAATTCCCCAGCGTAAAATTGGTGAAATGGTAAATATAAGCTCTTCAACAGTTCAACACATAATTGAACGCTTCGTACATGAAAATCGCATAGAAAATAAGGGACGAAAGGCTCCCAATAAAATTTTTACAGAAAAAGAATCGAGGTATTTGGTAAACCAAATTCGAAAATATCCAACTATTAGCGCTCCAAAGTTGACAGACATGGCCAAAATAGATTTTGGAAAAATTTGTCATCCTGAAAACGTCCGCAGAATATTGAGAGAATCAAATTTCAATGGAAGAATAGCTGTAAAGAAACCTTTCGTAAGTGCAAAAAATAGAATTAAAAGATTGCAGTTTGCACGAGAGCATTTAAATAAGAGTCCAGCATTTTGGCGAAATGTACTTTTTGCAGACGAAGTCAAAATAAACTTATTTGGATCAGATGGAAGATCTTATGTATAGCGCGAAGTCAATTCTGAGCTCAAACCACAAAATTTACGTGCTACCGTAAAACACGGAGATGGTAATGTTATGGTTTGGGCATGTATGTCATCAAATGGAGTAGGAAATTTGGTTTTCATCGAAGAATCTATGAATAAAAATATTTACTTAAAGCTTTTTCAAGAAAATTTGATTCAAAGTGCAACGAAATTGCAGATTGCAGATGATTTTCGCTTTTACCAAGACAACGACCCTAAGCACAAGTCAGCATTAGTACAAACGTGGTTGATATGGCAATGTCCACACATTGTCCAAACTCCTGCACAATCACCAGACTTGAACGTTATTAAAAATTTGTGGTCCGTTTTGAAGACAAATATTAGAAAACATGACATCCGCAACAAATTTGACTTAAGAAACCCTTTACAGCAAGAGTGGAGTAAAATTAGTCCAGATTATTCCAAAAAACTGGTTGATTCCATGCCAAAAAGGCTTCATGCTGTTATTACTAATAAGGGATATCCAACAAAGTACTTAGAATTAGTCCGGAAGTTTGTAAAAATATTAGTTTTTTTGATGTTGCATCATTTAAGCTGTGACATGAATTTTTCATTTGGTTTTGGTTTTTGATGCATTACTAAGGAATGGAAGAAGATTTTTGGGTTTTTTTTTTTAAATGAATAAACACACTATAAACAATAACTCTGCATACTTTGTTTTTTTAATTTTGCAAAATATTTTGAAATAAACATTTTTCAAAAAATTTTTGCTTGCATCAAATAAGCTGTGA